CATCATAATTAGGCACTAAAGTATTAGCGTCCCTATAAATAGAATGGTAAAAACAGAACACATTCGAACATAAGATATTGCTTTCGGATTATTCGCGGATTTGAAAAGAATTTGTTTGTATACCAAAGAGATACTACAGAATTAAGAGAGAAAGATATAGAATAAATAAAAAAAAACAGACGAAGAAAGAGAGAATAGAGACAGAATAATGAAACGTACAAAAAAAAATGATTTGAACAGCTGTCGCGGTAACACCTTACCGGTTTGACTGCATAGCGCATAGTCTATTCTATTTTAGATCCATGTCATTTACACAAAGCGGTTTCACTTTACTTAGCCGCCCGCTCTCGTCGGACAGATGGCTAACTAGAACGTGACGAAAGTGTGCGAATCGATGACACGTATCGTTTTTACTTGCAATCCGCAAACTGTCACCCCGCAAAATGCGAGGATAAAAATTTAATTAAATGTCAGGAATTTATAACATAGATGGCAAACAAATAATAAAAAAAAAAAAAGTTATTAATTTACCTTTATTATCGCTATCTGTTTTCTCTTTATTATTTTATCGATACTTCGAAAATTATCACTATAAAAACATATAGCAATATTATTTTAAATACACAGTTGCATTCGAAATAACAACTCTTTTTTGCCTCTCGCGACGCATTAAATTAAATCAATTAGCGAGTAAATAATTTTTAAGAGAGAAGAAAATCGAACGTAATCAACTAGAGGAAAGTTGAGAATTACATGGTTAATTTATCGCTCGAACGAAACACAGTTCGCTAGTTATGAAAACAAAATATTTCGTTTCGTCCGTGAGACGGATCTATGCGAAAAGTTCTATTTTTCCGATATCTAATTAAGAGTTTCGTCATCCATCGGGCGCGAGATAGTGCGGAACTTGCCGTCGTTATTAAAGTCACGGGAAGAGTCTTCTCCAGCGAATAAAATAAACCATTAATTTCCTTCCACGAAGCTAAAGCGCCCGAGAGACGTTTTTCTTTCGCTTCTTAATCTTCCGGAGATCACGTACGATATATACAAAGAGTTATATCTCCTCAATATAAATAATCCCGATGTATAAAACATGTGTATATATTTTCCTCACTTCGCCTTTTTTTTTATTCTATTTTTAATATTCATAAAATTGTATATCAATTATTTTGATAGTCCGCGATATATCGCAGCGCCTAAGGGCGTGCTAGCAAATGGCGATTTCAAAATTATATATATATATATATATATATAATCCTTTTGCCGCCCCTTCCCTCCCCATCCCTCCGCGGCCAGTATCGATTACGTCGCGCGTGGGAAATAATCAACGCCGACCGCGAATGACGTTCTACGATCCATTTAACATAAAAACACGTACTGGCTAAGCCAGATTGTAAAATTACACACAACTAGGTCAATCCGTTGTCCACGTGTTATTACACGCGCGCGCGCGCGCGCGGTGTCAGTGTTGCGCGCTGGCTACGCGCTGAAAGTGCCGGACCCGTTTCAAGTGATAAAAGTGTAATCAAGGTTGACCGGCGGTGGCGGCGGTCGAACCCTTTGCATAAATCGTGAGACCAACTCGCGCGGAGACTGCAAAGTAATCAAGGCTAACCCGCGCGTTTTCTCAAGACCTAGAATCGACGAAGCTCTCACACAAACGTTCTAATCGCCGGTCAAATTTAGCTTCTGTATAAGACGATTGGTTAACTGAAAATAATAGCCATGTTTATTCACATTTGAGCGTTTTTAAAATCCCGGAAATGTCCGTATTTTTCAAATAGCGCATAATTTAAACAATAATTGTATTAGCATGCGTCGATGCATCGATAATTGTCACACCAACAGGTCTCTTGTATAATTTTTTTCACGCATACGTTATAATTATAACTAATGTAATTTTTTGATGTAGTTACGAGTTTTATATAATGCAATTTTGAAAAGTTATAGAATAGATCTGAAATTCTCGTGTTACGAGCGTCGCGAAAATTCTATTTAAAATTCAATATACATATATACTACAGCGGGCGTTAACTTCGCCAGCAAACACCTGCAATCAAAAGTGCGTGATACTTTCTCTTCCTCTCTTTTTCGACAAAGGGAAAAACAAATTCAACCTACAAAGAGACCTAATAATAATAAAAAGAAACCTTGAACCGTAACGATTCACAAAGAAGCATCTACATTGCCCACCACCCCTTCGCCCCGTCATCGCCGACACCACCACCGTTGTTCTCCACCCGGCACTTAGTGGAAACAACAAAGTGCGTGTTCCAGGCACGCGCTCTCGCGTGCCGAACGGGCGTGTGAGAACGGCGTGTCGTGCGTGTGAATCCGCACGGCAGCGCGCGTGTGCCGGCGCGGCGACGTTAATGTTTGCAATCACAAGTTGGAAAGTTTTGTGATGGCAACCGCTCCGTCGGCCAGTTACCCTGGTAACGCTTTGTTGTGCCATTGCGTCGAGCGGCAGCGGCGAGGGAGGAGAAAAGAGGGGGGGGGGGAGGAAAAGAGGGAATCGGGAGAAATCCACCCCCGTTCGCCCGCTTTCCCTCCGTCGAGAAATTGGATGAAACGGTCGCGCTAAACCCCCGTCCACCCTCTCTGAACCCTTAACCCCTCGATTGCCATTCGGGGACGAATCAACTCGGCTTGACCTAGCCCAAACTATCTCCTCCTCCCTTTCCGTCCTGTAACCCTACAATGACGAATAAAGGGCACGCGTTTCCTCTGGACCCGCTCTGTCGGAGAGCTATTCCGTAATCTTTCATTTACGCGAATCGTAAAATTGTAAATAAGGGTTTGATATTTTTTATTTGTTAAAACGTGTGCGAGATTCTTAAATATAAACAATGAATATCCACAATATATTAATGTTCAATTGAAAATTTTTCAGTTTCGAGAAATTAGTCCTAAGACGAGTCAAAACGATCCTCCAAACTTAAAGAAACGGGAATCGATCGTTAAAAATTTACGTAATAACTTGAATCCACGAAATAAGGCCAAGCGAATTCCGGTTTGAATGACCCTGCTCGTTTATTACCCTCGCTTAAGTTAATATAGTATAATTATCACGGATAGAGCTGATAATAAAATATAACGATGGGTTATATCATACATGTAACACACAACGCACATGTACATTGAAGAAGCACGCCGTTTCATATCGACGATTGCTCGCGAAATAAAAATGTTCCAGATCGAGTTATTAATAGAATTGTTGCTTGGGGAATTCTCAGCCGTTCACGCGTATTCTAATATCAACCCTAATGTAGATATGTATATAAAGTAAAATAGTAGCACTAAATGTTATTTGATACCCTGTAAAATTTTAAAATATAAAGAGCCGCGATATGTTCTTGCGATTTTCAATAGCTTATTTGAAGAATTATCATGTATGATTAAGATAGCTTTGACCAGAAAAAAAAAATTTTTCTTTAAAAAATACAAGGCAATTTTATTTAATTTCAAATAAGATCGTCTTGGATTTTTCAAAAAAAATTATTTTTTATATTTATTAAATTAATTATTAATTTTATTAAATTAATTATTTATTAAAAATCAAAATCTCAAACCAAATTGCTCAATTGTTGATATCGCATTCATAAAAATATGTATATTTAATATACAGATTTATCATATCTCGCTTGAGCGTATCAAGAAAAGTTTTTATTTTTCTATTTATGAAATCTTTAAAAAAAAGTGAAAGATCAGCATTGAATCACAAGTTCGAAACAATTTGTTCGCATCGATGAAATGTTAAATGATTGTTATTAACGATTTACAAAATACACAAATTAATATTACGGAAAAATTTTCTCATTAATTACAAAAAAATGTTAATCTCCGAATTTTATCAATTTGTAGACAGGGAACACGCGCGTCACACGAAAAATAATTTATTTCATCAACAATATTTGACGAAAATAAAATATCTTTGATACATGCAAAACTTTTATTACATTATTATTGTTTTGATTAAAAAAATGATCTAAAAGATACATTACTAGATTTATAATTTAAAAAATCTTGAATTTTTGAAGATATACAATATAAAAATCCTGAGAAAATATATTCTGGGTCATGTGTAACACACAACGCGCACGTCATACAGAGCTTACTTATCGCACGAGATAACGCTCATGTTCAGATATCGAACTCTCCTTCTCCGTTGCAGACAAACAATGTGTTACGTTAAAATATATACTTGCGTTTTTAGCATTAATTATCATAATACGCGAAAAAAATAACAAAGAGATTCAACACAAAGTGTATATACATTATATCTTTAAACATAAATAAATTTCGATCATTGTAACAATATTAATTACACAGCCATTTGTGACTGTGTGAAACATGATCATAGTATTTTGATTTAATTCCTTAATACTTAATCACGGCGGAAAATCGTCGAAACGAGACTCGTCATCAGACTATGTTCCCTAGTACCGCTATTCCAACAAGCACTAACTCATAATCTCACCGAGAATCCGATGGTACGACGAAAATGTAAAAATCCGCGACGCGAGAGTATCGACATCGACTCCGGCCATCATCGTCGCGCGCGCGGCGTCGCACGTTTCTGGAAGCCGCGCGTGTCGTGCGTATAACCTCCAAAACGGACATGACGCGATCTCGCCGCGACGTAAACGTCGCGTCCGTTGCGTTTGGCTTCGGAAAAAAAGGAGTCTTATGGAGAGATCGAGAGACATCCCTCGAAAGATCATGATCGGTCGCGATCGAAGGAGCGAGCAAACCTAGCGGATCGAGCGAAGAGCGAACGTGCGCGCGCGCGCGCGCGGGGAAAAAAAGGACACGGGCCGCGACGTGTCTCTCGAGGATCGACCGAAATTAACCCTCCACGAGGGAAAAGAAAAAGAATGGAGCGTATCCCTCTCTCCGGAGAGCGACGACGCGCCTTTGACGCGTGACGTTTCGGGTACGACGCGCGCGAACTCCGCTCGCCGGTCGCGATCGGCGTGCGTTCGACGTGACGGGAGGCGATTTTCAACTTACTTGTAACTTGCGTAGGCAGCGGCAGAAAAATCCGGGACGCACCGGGGACCGAATTCTCTCACGCACAAACACGAAACTTCGGTAGTAGGCAATCACGTCGCAATGGCGAGGAACCGCGAGTGCGTTGCGATCGAACGCGCTGCCGCCATCTTGCGGACGCCAGGCCATCTATCGGCGGAGGGGGTGCGGCGCTGATTTACGCGGGAAACGTGCGTGACGTCACCGACGCCATTGCTTGACTTATTTTGAATCGCGGCGGTTGGCGCCGTTAACGACTATAGATACTAATCGCGATAATTAAGCTTGCTCGTTTTAGATGCATTTTTTACATTTAACGTGAAATGAGTATATCATTTTGATGGGGAGCGAGAAACAAACAGACCTGCTGTTTAATGCTGTTTAAAGAATTTAATATTTAAATGAGTAGTAAAATTTATTATTATAGTGGCAAAAGAATGCACACAAAAAAAGGAAAAAAAATCAATTATTAAAAAAATAATCGATACAGTAAAATAACGATATATATATGTGCATACTTGGCTATATAATCCGTTGATCCATCGCTTCCTTGTATTTCGAAAGAAAATAACGTCTAATATATGGTAGATGATTTCGATGGACGTCGGACCTCCAAAGCGGCGGATCGCCGATATGAAAATCACAATGTTACGGCACTATTTGACGAAACTAACACTTGATACTTTAAGATACACGCCCGATTACTCTTCGCACGCGAGATTCACTTTCGGATGGCAACGATTGCGAGAAATATGAAACGATTCGAGACCGAGCAAACCGTTGCGACGCTCTCCATTACCGACGACTGACTGAATTCGAGAATCGCAATATCGAAGTCGAAGCCGAAAATTATCAACTAAGGTAGTAAACAACGGTAGCAATTCAACTCGAAATATATGACCGGTATTTATGGTCCGCGTTCTTATATTCAAGAATATATGAATATGAATACGAGCCTATATTTTAATAGATATCAGAATCGATCGAAATATATAATATAAATTATTTAATACAATAATTTATAATACAATTTTTAAAATGCTAAAGATAAAATTTCGAAACTCGCGCTTTTTCACGTAACTATATTACTAATTTCTCACTTTAGATAATGTTTGCTGGAAGAGTATTAGCGCCTTTAATGACGAAATTTACACAAATTCCCGCCATATTGTCGGACAACTTTGAATTTTTTTATGCAAAATAATCGAGATGGATAACAATCAATTTGATGGGAATTTCAAAAAGATTATTATTAATCGATATACGCAAGGTAATCATCGTTACTCTATCCTATTTTTCGTATCGGATTCTTGTTGAAATAATAAATGGAGTAACACACGGATAAATGAATTGTATACAGCATCAAGCACAGTCAGCCTAATGGATGTCGACAGTATGGAATATAATAGCGAACTCCATCGGATGGAAAGGAAGATTGATCATTACAAGTCGAAATTGCGCGACTGCCGCGACAAATACGAAAACATGGAGACAGAAATTCGTAACGTGAGACGATTACAAAGCAAATCGTTATTCGTGTTAGATAATGTACAACCGATGGAAGAGGATCTTCAAGAGCGTTTCAAAAATATACATTTAAATTACGAGGCGTGTGTGGAAAAATCTGGTGGTTACGAAGATCTGGGAGAGATGATTAGCGCAAAGATAAAAGAGTTGAAAATACAGAGAAACGCACTGATGGAAGAACTAGCGCAATTAAGGAAAAACGCCGAAGATAATAATAAAAAACTTGCCCGCGTAAAGGGTATGATAACTGAACAAGAAGTAAGTGATTTTAACGTCTATGTATAATTATTATTGTATTTTACTTCTAAATTTTTTTTACAACAAAAATTTTCTTATTTTCAGGAAAAGAACGCGATATTGCTTCAAGATTTGAAGGAAAAATCCGAGAATGTCGTATCCATTTCACCGTACATAAAAAAACGGATAAATATCGTTCTAGAAAATACATCAAAAAATAAATTAAAGCGACGATGCATTGATAATATGATAGAATAAAAAAATAAAATTTATAAATTTCGTATAAATAAAATAGAAAATTTTTTAAAATGTTTATATAAATTTGTATAACTCGTAATAAGCAAATAAATCTATTATTTATAATATAAATGTACATTATAGCATAAATATAAATACACACACATAATGTATTTCTAAACTTTATCTTGAAAATATTCATCTTTGATCATTTTATGACAAGTCACTAACTCTTCATACATTTTGTTTAATTCTTGCAATATAATTGGCGTATGATTCAAAATTTTCATCATTCTATCATTTGTGGCACATATTCTCGATCTATTTTCTACAATTGTCTTTTTTAGAGTTTCGTTCTCTCTTTCTATTTCATTTACTTCCTTCTCCAATTCCTCGGTTGCTTCCTTGACCTTGTGCGCATCCAGTGATATCAAGTGTGTGATTACATTTCCCGGTGGACGCCTGTAATTACATAAAAATGATTTAAATTAGAGAAATCATATTGAGCAGTTAATAAAATATTTTCTAATAAATCTATTACTGACCATACGTCTTCGTTAACGGACGTCGTACTTTCCTCGGACAATTGAGCTATTTTGCTGAATACATCCTGTAAATCGCTTTCCTTCAATATACTCTCCAGATCATTATTCATACTATTATACAGTTCCTTTATTAGGGCATTATGTAACTTCTGGGCAACGCTGGGTTTCGATTTGAGAATCGGGAGTATCTCGACAAACTCATCCTCGCTAAAAGAAAAATAAATGATAAAGAAAATTGATTAGTTTACGTGCGAAATAAATTAGTATGATGCAATTATTACGTCAAATTATTAAACGCGTATAATTATCATAGCTCGAAAAATCGATATCCCTATCTAAGATTAATGCTTCACGCGACGTCCGGAAATATAATACAATCTGCTGCTGTGGCACGATTTGAATTATTCGCTTTATCTCACTTCGTGGAATCTTATCGATCTAAACGATATACGTGCTCAAGAAAGATACACCCGCCCTTTTTTCCCTTTTTTTTTTTACTCCGCCGACTAACGCAGGACCGGGATGCGCATTCTTCGCGGATGATGCATAGTTAGTGTATGATAACTATCACGCTGAAGATCGAGAATTTTTTTTTGTCCCGATGCGTCAGACAAAGAGTAGCGGTACCTTCCATCACAAAGGACGGGAATCGCGAGGTTCTATAATCGACTCTTGCCGTGTCTTATAATAATAAGCATACAATAGTAAGATCCAGTCTCTTCTTTACTCAGCTTCCGACGTTTTAAAAAAATGCCACAAAACGTTACGTTTATTCTTTGATGTAACATTTATTCTGTCTATCGTTCTGCTTATCTATACAAGCGCTACATTATTAAACTTACCCAACATTTGCGTACTCTCTTAGATCGCACTGTCAACGAGAGAATGTCAATGTTGTTTCTTGCATACTCAATCAGGCCGGGACTGGTGCAATTTGAAATCAATGCTACATATTTGCATTAGTCCAGACCTAACTAAGTACGCTTTCGATGGTCCACAAGAGAAAGAAACTCGATATATCCGAAACCTGTACGATACATACGCATTTTTCGATATCGCACGCACAGAAGTCAATAGTTTATACAAAATCGAGTGCGAAACCATTTCTTTCATTATTTCACGATGCTGAAAAATATTCAATCTGCACGGAACGACCATCGGAGACAAACTACGTCCAATTTACACACTCTGGCAAGAGAGAATCGTGCTGCAGAACGCACGCACGAACGCGTGCACGATGCCAGCGATACGCAGCGCACGAATGACCATCGTTCCCGCGCCGGTGACCGCGACGGGAGGGGCCTTTGTTTCCCCGAACGCTTCGTGGAATTCCTCGAAGGTCAACCGGTGGGTCCGCGCAAAGATTTTCCTGGAAGTCCGCACGCGATGCGCCGAAAGGGTCCGATCGGATTTAGGTAGATCGCCGCGGAAGAGTACGGATACGGACCCGGGCGTACACGTGAATGTGACGGCGAGTCGAGAATTAACATGCGAACCGCGGAGGCCAATGACATCGAGTAACACCGAGTCGTGCGTTTGGGTCATCGACGATGCCGATCCCTCCCTCACCGCTTCCCGTTCCGACCCGCTGCTTCATCATCGCGTCAATAAATCTCGGCTTCTCGTGAAAAAAATGGATTGGCAGGCTATCGTCTCGTATAAAACGTTCTTTTGTTCTCATTCATTTCCGTTCTCATTTACATAAAATTCGAGAAATTATATTATTGACATTATAAAAATATGAATTTTTTTTTATATCACTCGTGTATATTCATTTATAGATTGTATGGATGTAATAAATTGTTGCGTTAAGAGATGTATATACAATAATGTTCTTTCTTATATTCTCGATATAATTTTGTTTTAGATTTATCATTGCATTATTTGTTTAATTAACATTAAATTTTTCAAAGTTTCTCTAACGATTTATTTATTAAAACATGCTAATGTCAAAGTTCATCGAAAAAGGAAGACATATCGAAGACAATCCTAAAGAACGTAAACGAGAGATGCTGTTTGATCCGAGATATTTTCGACTGCATGACGTACTTGACATACTTCTGATAGTAGTATTGTTATTGTGCGAGCATGTTTGGGCATAAGAATTATAACTCGAACGTACGATCAGACACTGAAGCTGAAAAAAAAAAATGTTTCAATCGAATTTAAGAAAAATAGACAAATGTAAAAAGCAAAGAGTAAAAGAACCCATTGTGACACAACAATGCAATCTAAATTCGCAGTAGAAAGGCACGGAAAGGTAAAGCACTTCCTTTGGCTTTCAACTGGAAGAGTTATCTCGCGCACACGTACACCTAGAGCACCTAGAGACCACCTAGACCGTTTCTCTGTCCTCCTTCATGTCATGCGAGAGAGGAGAGGTTAAGCGTGCGAGGAATGCGCGCGCGAAATCGAAAGGAGACACACGCGTGCGCGGGTCTTTTGGTACACAACACGTCGCTCACCTCACAGATTCGCTTATATTCCTGAGACTGTTGGAGACGGCGATTTGGAACAGCCGCACGTTGTTTGGCCAGTCGGCTTTCTCGTCCTCCGCCATTTCCCGGACCGACAAAGAACGAATCACGAGAGACGAGGCGTCAACAACGGATGCCTCATAATAACGGTTTTTCGAAGTGTCGACCCTCCTCGCGCCTTTATCGACGGGATTTGATTACCTCGAGAGCGTGGCGGACATGCGAGTACCAAATGTCACGTGAAGATGACGTTTGGAACGCGTCGGTGCTGCCAGCTGGAGACGTTTAAATTATTTACGGGATATATATCGCGATGTTTATTTTACAATTAATTGATTTACAGTTAAATATATTTATTCGACTGGTATAAATATATCGATGCTAATTTTATCACTTTTTTTCAAAAATTCAAGATGAATCAAAGCATTGAATTTTAATCATATATTTAATTTAATCTAATAGCGGCAAGGAAAGCGACTAGGCTATATCAAATATAATTAGGTTAGTTGATAGATAATAAAACTGTCAGTATCTCCTTTTGCTTGTTATGTTTCTATTTATCATCGATTTTTCAGATCGATCAAAACCGGTTTGCAATTAATAAAGTCTTCATAGAGCAAATTATTTGCTAATGTTTATGACGAAAGTTCTACATTGACGAAGATATCTGCGACACGAATGGTTAATCAGTCGTCGGTGCGATTACAGCATCGTACACGTCAATATAATATAATTACTCTTACTTAAGGCGCGATTAATCGACTGTTCCTTTCTATGGTACTATCTCTGGAGAATTTGTAGCTGCGTCGTATGTACGTGCGTCGCGTACTTAAAAAGCAATTGTCAATTGTCGGCGATAATAAAACTGTCAGTATCTCCTTTTGCTTGTTATGTTTCTATTTATTATCGATTTTTCAGATCGATCAAAACCGGTTTGCAATTAATAGTCTTCATAGAGCAAATTATTTGCTAATGTTTATGACGAAAGTTCTACATTGACGAAGATATCTGCGACACGAATGGTTAATCAGTCGTCGGTGCGATTACAGCATCGTACACGTCAATATAATATAATTACTCTTACTTAAGGCGCGATTAATCGACTGTTCCTTTCTATGGTACTATCTCTGGAGAATTTGTAGCTGCGTCGTATGTACGTGCGTCGCGTACTTAAAAAGCAATTGTCAATTGTCGGCGCTTGCCTTGTAAGTAACATCTTTGACTCTTTGCCGTTATTTTCATCGGAAATGTTCCGCAATCGCGCCAATTGCTCGACTAATGGATACAAGGTTGCTTTATGTATGGAGCTAATACAATACCGTTCCGGCGAATAAAATGGATTACTATACATCGGGATTTATAATCGATGGAATTCCGAACAGAGTAAGAAAGAGAGGATCAATATATAATTCAATAATTGGCTGTGTATGCGGATTGCGTCATTCTCGGAAAACAAACACGCGGCAAGTACTCTTCGTCTGTTCCGATTTCTCGCTTCGAGAAATCGCCGTGGGCATCTATAAGCATCGTCCGAAAGTTGTCGGCGAAAGGATTCACCCCTCTGTGGGAGTTAAGCGGTGATCAGCGATCTATCTCAGATCCCTGACAGATCTGTTTGCCAAGAATCACTTCCTCTTATATTCGTGAGACGTTCAAGGCAAGCCGTCGCCGCCAGGTTTCTTGAGTCTATACTCGCGTTATAGGACCCGATACTGCGCCCATATCTGGGGCTACACCTTTCGGCGGGTGCATTTACATGCGCTTCCGAAAGGTCAACGATGGCGACAAGGAGGAGCTGTAATAGTGTCTCCTCGTATAGAAGTCCGCTCTTTGATAGCGACGTTGCGACGCGCCTTGGTTATATTATGCAACTGGCTTTACCCGGCGATCTGAACTATATTTTCTTTTGCTCATCTTGCGCGAGAAGGCTCCGGCTACCGACAACAGTTGAAGCACCCATTCACTCGGCTCGCCAACGAGAGAGGATCATCGTCGGTGAAATTGAAAGGATCGCTTTCTCTCTCTCTCTCTCTTCCTCGATCGATAGACGACATAACGATCTCGAGATCGCCGATCGAAATTTCACGTGACACATTTTCAAATTCCGATGCGGCAAACGACACGTGCGATTACGCCAGTCGCGTTGCAGAAGTAACTGCAGTTTTTTTTTGCAGGTCAGAACGCGTAATGCATTCAGGTGTTCCGCATAAGCATATCTCGCGCAAACAATCGTAGAAATAAATATATTCGGATAATCTATGTGAGATATCTGGATAGATCTGAAATATCGATCTCTTCAGTAAGAAGCATCCATCATGTAGTGTAGAAAGTACATGTCGAGATGATCGTGGGAAGATACTAGTCAGCAATAAAATAATGCCATTCTATTTTGTAATGATTTAAACGAGAAGATATGAAAATTAAGTAACAGATGCAGGCAGTATTCATTAGCGGAATGCGGTTATAACGATAGTTAAGGGAAATTAACGAGGTATCCCAATTATGCGCCTCGCGAAAACGTCGAGGCGTTGAATTGAGCGAGGTGACGTAACGGTATCTTATGTGTTTTCCTTTTATTCCCAACACGATCGAAGCGAGCATAGATTAGTACGTAATTAAGTTTAGCATGTGTCTAAGAAATCGATTCTCACGTCGAATTTATCTAAACATTCATTCATATTCATTCTAAATTATTAGCGAATATAGATTTTCGCAATAATGTTAGAAACTTAAATTGAAAACCTGTAAATTCTTTAAAGTATTCATATGTATAATCAGTATTATGGATATAAATATGTATTTACTATATATGTGTTAATATTACAGTTTAGTAAAAAAATCAAATCAAGAATGAATGGATAGTAACCGATGATATTTCCGTATTTAAGAAGGCGGAGTCATATGTAATCGGAATCGCTTTTTAACTGAACGATTGGAATAGATGAACTTTAATGCGCTACCTGCACTTCTGGCATCACACCGATCTCTGGAACGAACCGCAATAAAACGTAAACGATCGCACCTGTCTCTCGCCACCCTGCCTACTGTGAGGCGCGGTAAAAATCTCCGCGATCACCGCTC